AAGCGTCCGACTTCGGCTCAGGTCATGATCTCAAAGTTCGTGGGTTCGAGCCCCGCGTCGGGCTCTGTGCTGACAGCTCAGAGCCTGGAGCCTGTTTCGGACTCTGTGTCTCCCTCTCTCTCTGACCCTCCCCTGCTCATGCTGTCTCTTTCTATCTCTCAGAAATAAATAAAAAACATTAAAAAAAATTAAAGTATGACCTGGTTGGACTGTGGGATTATTTTTTCCATTGATTGAAAACATTTACATTTCTTCACTTTTTGAGAGTTGTCTTTAGGCGCAGGAGGCCTCTCTGACATATCTTTGAGAATTAATGACCTTGTGTGAGCTCAAGGTAAAGCCTTATTATACAGTAATATAAAATAAGAAGGTAAAAACGATTAAACTACCCCAGGGCATACGCTGAAGTTACTTTGGAGAAATAGGGCTGGATTTCTACTTGTGTCCTTATTTTTTCTTTTCTATTACCTCTCATAAAACCTTACTTGAAGATGAATCAAGATGTCTGGTTAATCAAATCTCAAATCTATGCCATATAAAATGTTTGGCAGATGCTACACTGCAGAATAATTTTTTTTTAATAACTGAAGTTTGGATTCTTTCACTAATACCACCGCATTACCCCCTTCTCCCAGCTCCTGCCAACTGCTCTTAGACTCTCTATTCTATGAGTTTGACTATTTCAGATGCCTTGTGTAAGTGATATGTAGCATCTGCCTTTTTGTGTCTGTATTTGTCCTTCAGTTTCACCCGTGTTATCGCAAATGGCTAGATTTTCTTCTTTTTTAAGTCTGACTACTATTCCATTGTACCACATTTTCTTTGTCTGCCCACGGACATTTAGATCACTTTCATGGCTCAGTTATTGCGAATAATACTGCAATGAATCTCTTCAAGTTCTGATTTCAGTTACTTTATTTTTTAAATTATTTAAAAGGTTTATTTATTTTTGAGAGAGAGAGAGAGAGTGCAAATGGGGGAGGGACAGAGAGAGAGGGAGAGACAGAATTTGAAGAAGGCTCTAGGCTCTGAGCTGTCAGCACAGAGCCCGACGTGGGGCTCGAACCCACAGACTGGACCCCGAAATCACGACCTGAGCTGAAGTCAGATGCTCAACCAATTGAGTCACCCAGGCACCCCTCAACTCCTTTAGATATGTAACCGTAATAGGGATTGCAGGATCATATGGGAGTTCTATTTTTAATTTCTTGAGGAGTTTCCATACTGTTTTCCATAGTGGCTGCACCAATTTCTATCCCCTCCAACAGTGTACGAGAGTTTCCTTTTTTCCACATCCCCACCAACACTTGATAACTCTTGACACCATTCTAACAGGTGTGAGGTGATAGGTCATTGTAGCTTTGATTTGCATTTCCCAGATGATTGATATTGAGAATATTTTCATGTACCTGGTGGTCCTCATTTGTTTGCCCATTTTCAAACCAGGTTATTATTTTTGTTTGTTGATGTTTTTTGTTATTGACTTGCATGAGCTCCTTGTATATTTTGGATATTAACCCCTTATCAGATATACAGTTTGCAAATATTTTCTCCCAATCTGCAGGTTGCCTTATTATTCTGTCAATTATTTCCTTTGCTGTGCAGAAGCTTTTCAGTTTCATGTAGTCCCATTTGTCTATTTTGCATTGGTCGCCTGTGCTCTTGGTGTAATATGCAAAATATCATTACCAGGGTCAACATCCAGAGGCTTTTTCCCTACATCTTTTTCAAGGGGTTTTATGGTTTCAGGTCTCATATTTGTCTATCTTGAGTTGATTTTTGTGTGTGGTGTAAGATAAGGATCTGATTTCATTCTTTTGCATGTAGATATCCAATTTTCCCAGTGCCATATATTAAAAAGACTGTCTTAGGGCGCGTGGGTGGCTCAGTCAATTAAGTGTCCAGCTTCGGTTTTCACCTCAGGTCATGATCTCATGGGTTCGTGGGATTGAGCCTCGTGTAGGGTTCTGTGCTGACAGTGTGGAGTTTGCTTGGGATTCTCTCATTCTCTCACTCTCTCTGCCTGTCTCCCCCTCATGCTCTCTCCCTCAAAATAAATAAGCTTAAAAGTAAAATAAAATAAAAAGACTATCTTTTTTCCATTTTGTATTCCTAGGTCCTTGTCAGAATCAGTTGACCATTGATTGGCCATATATGTGTGTTTATTTCTGGGTTCTCTATTCTGTTTGATTGGTCTATATGTCTGTTTTTATGCCGGTACCCTACTGTCTTAATTATTATAACTTTGTAATATAGTTTGAAATTAGGATGTATGATGATGCCTTCCACCTTTGTTCTTCTTGTTCAGATTTCCTTTCACTATTCTTTTGTGGTTCCATATGCATTTTAAAATTTGTTTCCTATTTCTCCAAAAATGGTCATTGGGTTTTGATATGGATTGCATTAAATCTGTAAATCACTTTGGGTAGTCTGGGCATTTTAACATTACTTCCTCTAATCCATGAACATGGATATCTTTGCATCTGTGACTGCTTCAATTTCTTTCATCAGTGTTTTATACTTTTAGCGTACAGATCTTTCATCTCCTTGGTTAACCTTATTCCTAAGTACCAGAGTAATTTTAATACATTAAATACCATAGTAATATTTTATAACTCTAAAAGCTGACTTATATACATAGTACAAAATTCAAAGACTTTTTTGGTGAATTTAAATTTGTAGTTATAATAGGAAGACACTAAATTTGCATCAGCTGTCCTTGTGACTGTATCATTTTATAATGAACCCGTGGGCATTCTGGTGTGGTGCTTTAAAAAAGAAAAGTTGAAGGGGGAAATTCAGGGTAGCTGCCCTTCCTCTTCTCAGAAGAAAAGGGGCGAGCCCTGTGAGCAGCCACCATATTGGGAGGGCTGGCGTTGCTGTGTTGAGGCATTATGTAATCAGGCTAATTTCCTTACACCAATTAACAGCCTAGCTGCCCTCATGCATCCCTGGTAGAGGAAATGCTAAAAGTTGAAGTCGACTGGTGGTATTGCCCTGGTCTTTGGCTTGCCATATGACTTTGGGGTCCACATCTTCTCATTCCCAAAATGGGATACGCGGCTGATTAACAGGAAGGACACTTGAAGCAGAGACTATCTTGGAAAACCTATAACTCACTTCTGGAGGTTCAGAAATTCTTTGCTTTTTCTGCAATTTATTTATAATTTTTTTTTAAACGAGAGAAATTAGTCAGCACTAACCAGGTAATTTGTACTAATGCCTATGTAGTTTATCTTTGGAGAAGACCAAGAATAGAAAATGTTAGAACCCAAATATCACAGAACAGGCACGTTCAAATCATCTTTATCCTTGGTGGGGGGTGTGAGGTAAGCTATGGGAAATACTAAGTTCTCTGGATAAGGTTGACAAAGGGACTCTAAGTTTACACGGAGTACATGGTAAATGTATTCTCACCTTAGTCTGTGTGGTGGGAGAGAACCAGAAGCTGGACTAGGCATGTGTTCAGCCTTCCTATGTGGATCCAAATTTTCTCTATTACTGTTTGACCTGGGCCTAGTTACATAACCTTTGCGTGCCTGTACTTTTGAATCCCTAAAGTGGGAGTTAATAATAGTACGTGCCTCATAAAGCAAGAATTTTTGGAGAGGCATGTAAAAACCTTAGCGTGGTGCCTGACACACAATAAGTGCTCAGTAAGTTTTACCTAGAATCATTAAAGCCCTTTGAAGGCAAACATTTCACCTACAGGCCCTTTTCATGGGACAAAAACGGGCAGGGGAGACAATGGCAGGGGGCTCAGCCTCTAAGGAGCGGAGCTGGAGAAAACGCATTTTGTACAACGCTCGCTAGGAAAGTACAGCCAATGGCTGGAGGGAAAGGTGAGCCCCGTGTGCCTGTTTTGGGGGTAAAGGGAAGGCACCGCGAGCCTCTCCTCCCTCCAGGGCACGCTCAGGCTCCCAGACGGTTACTAAACGGCTTCCCAAGTTCTCAGCTGGTTCTCCAAATGCACGCTGAGCAAACATTTAAAGAATATCCGTTTGAGCCAAAGTATTAGTCTGCCCTTGGCAACTACTCGTGGGTCAGGCCGGGCTCACACAACAACAGATGCCTGTGTCGCGCCTATGTCTGTGCAGGCATCGTTGTCAGCGGTTTACGTGCATCAGCTCACTCAAAGGCATCACGGCCCTGGGAAGTAGGTGCCCTTCACGTCCCCTTTCCGCAGCAGCCTGCCAAGGTCAGACTGCCCGCGAGGGATGGGCCTGACCCGACCCCGCGCGCGGCGGCCCACAGCCAGCGCCTTGCGCCCACCTCTCCGGGGAAGGGGCCCCGGGAATCCGCGCCTGCAGCCCCGTGAGGTCGGCGGTGCGCAGGGGGCGCGAGGGGCAGGGTGCCCCAGGCGTCCCCTGCGCGCAGAAGCGTAGTCCTTAGCAGGAACGTTCTGGAACTCCCCTGCGCAACCAGCTGCGGGGAGAGCCCAGGACCAGCCGCGACCCCGCCCGGAGCAGCGTGGACGCCTAGAAGGTCCCCCGCGCCGAGAAGTCGCGGGCGAGGGGCGCGCGCACGGACGAGACCGCACTGTTTAGCGCACGCGCACACGAGGGCGCACGCTCGCCCGCCGCCCAGGATGAGACGGAAGGCATGGAAAGTTCCAGCTGGTTCGAGAACCGTAGGTAGCTGGAACGGCGGCCGCAGGGTCGGAGCCGGAGTGCGGCCCTCGCTGGCCCCTCCTGGCCGGGCTCGCGGCACCGCCCCCGCGCAGGGGCTGCGGGGCCGGGGGTCCCGGCGGGGAAGGCGCGCCTGGGGGCAAAGGGACTGTCGAGGGGGCGCGGCGCGGCCGCCTTAAGGAGGGGGCGGGGCGCGCGCGCGAGGGGGGCGGGGCGCGCCGAGGGGGCGTGGCGGGCCGTCTGCGCAGCTGCCAGAGCCTTAAAGCCTGGGCTCGCGCGGCCGGAGCGTGCTTTCGCCGCCCGGGAGCCTTCCGGCCCAGTAGTCCGTCAGGCCCCCGCGGTACCATCCGCCCCTGCGTCCCGTGAACCGGCTCGGTCCGGAGCCGCGCGCGCAGCGTTCGGGCATGCCCCGCTACGAGCTGGCTTTGATCCTGAAAGCCATGCAGCGGGTAAGTGACCTTCCCCCCCCCAGAGCCCGCCTTCCCGCGCGGGCGCCCCCCCCACCCTCAGCCGCTAGGCCGTCGCCCCCCGCCCTCCCCGCGCGGCCGGGGCTGGGGGTGGGGGAGGAGGCCGGGGCCACGGGCGGGCTGCGGGCGGCGGGCGTCCGCGCTGAGGGGGCGCGCGTGGGCCGGCCGGCGCGGCGAGGCCGCGTGCGCGCGGGAGGCGGGGGTGTGCCCGCGCGAGAGCGCGGCCGCGGGAGGGTGTGCCTCGCACGCGGCCGGCCGGCGGGGCGGGCGGGGGGCGGGGCGGCCGCGGGAGCCCCTGGAAGGTCCGCGGGAGGACACGCGCGAGCGCCCGGCCCCGCTCCCGCCGTCGCGAAGCTGCCTCGTCGCCGGTCCCGCCGCCGCCGCCGCCCGCTCCGCCTCCACTCTAGCGCCCGCCGGCCGCCCCGGAGCCGTCCGCGCCCGATAAAACGTTCTCCACAGCGTGTTTGTGCAGTTATCTGGACCACGGGCGCCTGTGACCGGTCTCACGTTAAAAAAAAAAAAAAAAAAAAATCTTTGACTTCTCTTTTTCTGACTTCAGCGAAAATCCTGCGCCGGGTGCCCTTAGCCCGGTTTTATTCATCCAAGTTGTGGCCTTTTTTTTGCGCCTTCCGGAAGAAATTTTTCTCCCCCTGCTTTTGATTGCTCTTGCGGTAGGGGATTTCAGGTTTGGAGGGATGCTAAGCGAAGCCGCAGCCCGTTCATTGCAAGTGATGGTGTGGCCGAGGACAGGGCCCCGCGGCCGGGAGGCAGCTCTTCGTCCTCTGTTCTGGGGCAGGTACTCCACCAGCCTTCGCCGAAACCCCCCTTCTTCCCGTGAGTTCGGTAACGTAGCGTGTGGTGTGTGCTCCCCCCCCCCAACCCCACGCCCAGGTATAATAATAAAAAAACGACAAAAAATCTGTACCACGTCTGAAGTTTGGAAGCAAGAGCTTTCTACAGCTCGAGAATCAGGCTTTGGGTCACTTTTGAAGAGTAGCGATTCAATGAAGTTTGCTTCAAGTTATTTTAAGCCTGGGATCATGGTCCAACCTGTGTAGAAAAACTGGCACTCAGGGAGCCGTAGGAAGAAACGGCTCCAGGCTTGGCACACTACGAAGTGGGAAAGGATACCAGTGCCTCTTGATCAGGTCCAGAGAGTCTGGTCAGGAATGCCATTGTGTCCCCAAGCTCGTTCTTCCAGAATTTGGAAGAAGATGGGCTTGTGGTGTTTACTCTCTGGAGTTAAACCTTCTCCCCCCCCCCCCCCGTTTCTGGCTCTCCTCCCTCCTTGCTAAGATCTTAATGCTTAAAGAGAAGGGGAACAAGGGAAAACGAAAAGCACAGTATTAAAAAGGGAAACATTTTTAATTTAGGTAAAAATTGTTTAAGCCCTTCTCTTTAACCTGCGCTTTTGAGGAGATACCATAGAGCCTGGGAAAAGTGGTGCTTGACACTTATTTCATACCTTGTTTTGGGACCAAACAAATGATCACTGAAGAGCCCGAGTATAGACATAATATTTGTTCACTTCCTAAACCTTTGAAATGAAAACTCTGCACTCTTTGTCTTTAGCATAGCTGCCAAGTACATTGGCTGGTTCACACGGCTCCAAGTAGATTAGTTATATGTATTTCCTTTACCCTGTTACATGTATTTTTTTGTGTTCTGTTTTTTGTATGCTCCTGTATGTGGCACATTTTTTTTTTTTTTTTTTTACTTTAGTTCTGGTAAGACACTAGCGCAGTTTGGTGAAAATAATTCAGTAGTTTCTTTGAAATTCCAGGGGGTGGGGCGACCCATTAGCAGATAATGAAGGTGAACTCCCTGGAGGAGGAGGCGGCGGCCTCGGCCTCTGAGAGGACCTTGTAAAAGTCGTGAAGTTGTGATGAATTCCTCCACCTGAGTAAAGTAAGATTAAACAACAGCAAAAACAACTTTTTCCCCTATAAAAGTAGTTTTGGAGGAGGTTGTAAATGTGTAACAAACAGACTTCCTGGTTTTCAGCAGTTCTGCTTTCAATTTAAGAATTAGAGTCTAAAATAGGATCAATAATTGGAAAAATAAATGAATGAAAAAGTTAATGTTAGGTATGTAAGGCAGAATGCCATTTGTGAGCTTGTACCTTTGGCAGGCCTGGGCAACCTCACTTTTCGGCTGTGGCAGTTTGTGTTTCTGCTGCAGGAAGCCTCTTGTAGCTCCTCACTTCCAAGTTGCATGTTTTTCATATTTTTAGATTCTGAAACCCCCTTTCATGGTGATGGCTTCTCCCCTCCCCCACAACCAATCATTTACGTGTCTTGGAATTGAGGAAATGGGTGTATGTTGACAACTCTTATAGGAGACATGGAAGTTGAGATTGAATTTTGTCCAGCATCCCCTCTGCCTTTTTTTTTTTTTTTTTTGGATTCCCAGAGATGTCTTCATCTCTTTTTTTTCTGTGATACTTTAGAAGCCTGAGGAGCATTCCTAGTCTCTTTGGAGTATGTTACTCTCTCCTCCCCTATTGTATTTCATTTGTCCCCTAGCTGGGCTCCTTAAAAATGAGCCAGCAAGAATTTTTAAAATTAAAATGAAAGATCCCGTGTTGAGGCTCAGTGTCTCCGGTAGCAGAGACCCACTGCACTGTGGTACAGTCACTTTTGGTGGTTCCTGGTGACAGATTTCAGGGTATAGCGTACAGAACGAGTCCTTATTCAGCTGTACAATTTTGTGTTGATCAGTCACTTAGAATTTCCACTGCTCTTGTTTTTTTAGTTTGCAACTGGGAGTTGAATAAGTCTCTTGTTTTTGTTGCATTTCCAAGTTTATACATTTATGAATATAGTTAACCAGTCTTCCCGAGACCCAACTCATTTGGCAGGTGCCATTTAGCCTGAAGTTTGTTTTAATGTGTGTATATTAAAAAAACTTTATTTTTGTTTCTCATTGACTTTTAATTTAGCATGAGAACTAGGTAAAATTCTGAAATTAGATATGGGAAAGTAATAGATGTTGTGAAACCGGGCCTTTAAAGGTGATGATTAAAGCCATTTGAAAAGATGACTGCTTAGACTAAGATGATATTTGTAGAAGGGACTCCAGAGATAAAAAGATTGGAATCTTGATATACCTACATCAGGTAGCATCAAAGTTTTCTGACAGCTGAGAAACTCCCGAACTCTGAGACGGAGCGTTCTTTCTTCACCTCCACCGTGTCCTCTTGCAGTGGGGACACTCGAGTAGAAGAGGGGTCATACATTTCGGGTGAGGTCTGACACTGATTTCTGAGAACTTTTTTCTGGCAAGTCTCAGAAAATGGCTGATGTCCTTTCATTTCACCTTGAAATTAGATTTTAAAGATTGGTATTTAATTTCAGTTAGGGAGAAGACACCTGCCAATACATGAATGATAAAGCCACATACTATGTAAGAGAAGCCTAGGAAAAGCTGTAAACTGTACAGAGTTTTTACTCTTGGGATGGGTTCAGGAAGAAGCATTTTGAGATGGAAAAAAAGATCTATGCAGAACATTTATATTCTGTGGTTGCTTTGTTTAGGAACTTTTTAATGCTTTTATCTTTATTTTTGACACACACACACACACACACACACACACAGCACAAGTGGGGGAGGGATAGACAGAGAAGGAGACAGAATCCAAAGCTCTTATCCAGGCTCTTATCAGCACAGAGCCCAATGTGGGGCTCGAACCCACAGAATGTGAGATCATGACCTGAGCCCAAGTAGGAACGTTCAACCAGATGAGCCACCTAGGCACCCCAGGATCTTTTTTTTTTAGTTTAGGAACATTTTAATTGTCATGTCTTAGTATGTTTGCCCAGAGTTGGCATGTTTAGAGTTGTGAAAGCCCTGGGCAAATATCTTTTCCTGAAGTTTTCTCATTGCTGCTCAGGAATTTTTACATGAAGAATTAAAGATTAGTGGTTTAAATAATAACTAGTTTAATGGCTAAGTGAATGCACGTGTGTACAATAAAATAGCGTTTATTATATCTTGTATATACTTTTCTAATAGTAAAATAGCAGGTAACTACTTTGGAAATCTTGAGTTCTTTTTCATTAAAACAGATTTCACCGGTCATTTTACGTTTAATACCTCATTTTAAATTTCATTGGAAAGTAGATTATGTTTTAAATTTTAAAATCAGTCATTGGAATAATTCTTTGTAGGTGAAAAGTGTTATATTGTAATCTCAGTTTGATTTACAACCTGGGTTTTACAAGTTTAGAAATAGAAGTGTGGCAATATTCCAGTTCTTGAATATTCCTACAGTTTTTACAATTCCTATAGAAAGCAGTAGGTTTTCTGATTGTGCAGTGAAGAGTCTATTTTTCTTTACGAGCACCTTTTTGGTTAGAAAAACTGGCAAAAGTTTTGTTAGTTCTTCTAGAGTTGTTTCCATCATAGAATCCTCTGAAAGTAATACCTACAGAATGTTTGGAGTTGAGCTCCCTCTTGGAGACATAAAGTGCTAATGGTAATGAATGGGACTGGCCAAAGCTACCTAGGTCATTGCAGTTTGACTTGTCAAGGCAACATTTGGTAACGAAATAGTGACATTTCTGCTCTCAGGTGGTGGCAGACAAAAGTTCAAAAGGAAATCTCTTTGTCCTAGCTGTCGGATGGATAAGTTAGTCTTTTTCTTCTCCTGGGCCCTCCTTGAACAGCTTAGTTTGTATCTTTAATAATCACCCTTTGTGTTTTGTCTGCTTGAAACCAGACAACTTAAAATAGTTCTCTAGTAATGAAAGACTTGAGCCTTGTGGGCAATGTTATACTCTCATTTGGTATTAAAGTTTTCTTGGGTTACAGCTCTTTGCCGCAGCAAGTGATTGAAGAAGGAGTCCTGTTCCTGCCCCTGAGCTACAGCTAAGGTACAAGGAGTGGCTTGGGGGTAAGGAATCCTTCCTCACCCGATGTGGTTTGTATTTGTTAAGACTGCTCGTCAGAAGTTGACATTTCTGCACTAATTTTTATTTTCT